CACACACACGAGGGAACCTGCACCTCCCAGACCTTCCCCAACAGGAGGGAACCTGCATCTCACAGACCCCCCCCACACACACACACACGAGGGAACCTGCATCTCACAGACCTTCCCCCACAGGAGGGGACCTGCATCTCACAGGACCCACACACACGAGAGAACATGCATCTCACAGACCCCCCACACACACACACACGAGGGAACCTATATCTCACAGACCACCCCCCCACATGAGGGAACCTGTATCTCACAGACCCCCCCCACACACACACACACACACGAGGAAACCTATAGTGCCCTTTAGAGCATAGCAGTGATGACATCAAAACAGAAGCATTCTCAGGGTCGTTTTGCTTCATGGTGCCACGTTCATGCACCCCAAAACTTCTGCCCAGGCTGTCAAAAAACAGTCGGAGTTCGCTCAGAGCGCCTTTAGGCTTCCCGAGATGTGGGTAAAACTGCAGAACCAAAACCTATGGGGAGAAGACACAATAAAGGCCCATGTGTCTGCATGGTGGGCACACACCACCAGGGTCCACACTGCTGATAAAGTGGAGGACTGCACAGTCTCACATACCTGTGACTTACACACCTCATCGTGACTGTGGGGACAGATCAGAGGGACCCTGGCTTTGTGTTTATGTCACGTGTCACTGTTCTCTTGCAGGAAGAAGGCATCGTCAAGGAGATCGACATCAGCCACCATGTGAAGGAAGGATTTGAAAAGGCAGACCCTTCCCAGTTCGAACTGCTGAAAGTCTTAGGACAAGGATCGTACGGGAAGGTGAGTTACACTCTGGTGGGATCTGACTGAGTTTTGTTTCTAAATGCAAAAGAAACCTGGGTGGAGCCTGACTGGATGGCAGGGCAAGGCCCCTAGGTGACTGTGACCAGTTACCACGGGGCTGCCCGTGAGCACCAGCCATACCCCTGAACCTGTCACACACACATCCGTCCCTCTTCTGGCTGCTCCCCAACTAGGGTTTTGGTTTCTCACCACAGTGAGTGGAGTTACGTAGTAAAGTGAGCCAGGGCGACTCTGAAAGAGCATCCCCCCATGGCTGTTTTTCCAAAAGAACAAAAAACAAAAGAGAAAACCAGAGAAGGGGACGGGAAGAGCAGCACCCTCTGGTGGGCCCCGCGGGGTCACTCGGGAGTCAGGAGGCTGTTACCCTTTGAAGCCTCAGTTTCCCCATCCATAAAATGCAGGTAATATTACCTACTTCATATAATTATCCTGTGGGTTAAATAAGGCAGGAATCCCACCCAGCAGCAGCCTGAGGCCATTTGTGCACTGAGATTGCTCATTTCCTTTCTTTTTTCACCTTCAAACTACAGCAATAAAAGCTGATTTCTTTCAGGAAATGCGAACTAGTTGGCTCCCATGTAACTCGAGTCCTGTACAGTGAGATGTCGGTGGAAGCTTCCCTCTGCTGCTGCGCGACTTGTCCCAGCACAGTGCAAATTCCTCCGCCCTCATGTTAGCTGTCAGAAATACCCAGGTCTGCGCAGGGCCTGAAGCAAACCAGGCGGCTGCTGTTAATAGCTCTTTTGTGTGGTGTGTGGACATTCACCAAATCCTTGCATTCTTCACATGACTTTGTGCCGAGATCAGATCTGGCTCCTATGAATGTAAATGCAGGATTACTAGGACGTAAGGTCCCATAGAGCCCTGTACAAAACCTCATCTGTGTGCTCAGAAGGGAGGGTTTCTTTTTCTTTTTCTTGTTTTCTTTCCCGCACAGTAATATGGTAAGGAACATATGTTTATACTGTTGTATGTGTAAACATATTAGATTAAACCATCCGAAATTTGCAGTTATTTAATGGGTTTGGGCCCATAAAAATGGCTGTTCAATATAGTCGTATGGTGTTTACACAAGTAGGGAAATAAAAATGTCACAGACTCTGAGAATGTCACACAGCCTCTTAGGACGTCACGGCCTCTCAGGATGTCACGGCCTCTCAGGATGTCCCAGCCTCTCAGGATGTCATAGGTCACAGCCTCTCAGGACATCACACCCTCCCAGGACGTCACAGTCTCTCAGGATATCATAGCCTCTCAGGATGTCACAGCCTCTCAGGATGTCCTAGCGTCTCAGGATGTCATAGGTCACAGCCTCTCAGAGTGTCACAGCCTCTCAGGACATCAGGGCTTCTCAGGATGTCCCAGCCTCTCAGGACGTCCCAGCCTCTCAGGAC